AAAATTACAACAATTTAATATAAATTAATATAAACATAATAACACTAAATTTTTAAATAAAACTTATCTTTCAAAGATAGAAAAATGAAAAATTAAATAATAAAAAATAATTGATAAATAAAATAATTTAGTGATTACATTAATTAACTATTTACTATATAATATAATTGATAAATAAAAATTATTAACTGGGTGCGGCCATAAGTGTACATGGGTGGTGTTTAAATGTTTAAATGAATTATCTTCCCTCTCCATCCATTTGATCACTCACAATAGTTTAAATATACTTGTGCATCCATTCATATTATTAAACATTGATTAAATGAGACTAATGGAGATGCTCTTATAAAATTTGTATATGTACATTATTAATTGTCGTGTGTTGCTAACTAATTTTATAGTAGAAGGAACCCCGCCCCGTCCCGATCACGCCTCACCCACCCAATCTTCAATTCTTCGCCATCGATCCCCATGTTTTCATGTTCCTTGTCAAGGGCTATGACTCGAGCAACGTTTGTATGATGTCTAAAGGTCTCTTGATCACTTTGAGACCAATTTTTTTGACCCATAAACGTGCCAACCAATGTGCATCTGCTCATTCACTTCTAACGGGATGTATGATGACGATATAACTTATGTTACTGCTTTATAATAGTGTTATATGCATAAATTGTTATTGTGATCTTTTATAAGTGCGCAAATAGTTCCTGAACTTTCTAGAGTTGCGAAATAGTTTGTGGTCAAAGAATCACAGCAGAATTAGTGCTTTTTGTTAAGTTAGGGAAATTAAAACGTGAAGCATGTGTACCACGCGCATACTCTTCAAACCTGTTTAAAATACAACAAAAACGCTGATCTGATGGAATTAACATTGTTTTTGTGGTAAAAAGTAAAGAAGTATCTTAGCTTCTTCCACATTTTAAGTGCAATGTGGATGCGTGTTTTAACATGCCCACAAGAGTGGCCCGAGTTGGAGTGGTGGTGCGGGGTGATCAAGGGGATTTTTTGAGAGGAGCCCCCTTTGGACTAGGGCGTCTGAAAGACGCACAAATGGCTGAAGCAATAGGACTCTAGGAGGTATTGAGGTGGCTAAGGATGTCGTTTGGGCAAATGAATCTATGTGTCAAATCAACAATGAGATGGTATTTAGAGCAATCCAAGAGGATATTGAAACTCATTCATATTCTTATTTCTTAGATATCATCTATGATTGTAAGATAGTGATGCAGGACTTTATTTCTCTCGCTCGCACTTTCAGTTGTTAAGAGATTAACTGATCATGAGGTGACTCATATGATGGCTAGAGCCTCTGATTCTAAGTCTGATTATCTCAAGCATATTTATGTCCCTCTGGGTTTATTTATGAGATATTGTACTCTGATTTAAATTAATGGTATTTAGAGATTTTAATGGTTTTCAAAAAAACTATTTGAAAAGCAGAATATGAGATGTGGGAGAAGACTCCCGTATTTGCTTTTAACCATGTAGACAAGAACAATTCGATAAGATTATTTTATTTTGATTACATGATTAACATCTTCGCATAATACACACATGTGCTACAAGTTTTACGTTTTTACTAAAGGATGAACTAGTTATTCAATTATTCTTTGATTGCTATTTCGTAATTTTTGAAAGTTTGAGAAAAATTTTTATTTATGGAAGACCTTAGCTTGTAAACTTATACTCAGCAGTTCATACACCTTTTATTCCATATCGAACTCCATTTTTTGTTTGTAACAATTATCAATTTTTATATGATATTAGTGGCTTGGAACGTAATAACTAGCGATATTTTCATGTTAGTTTTCTATAACAAACTTTTGGACTAATTTCAAAGTTTTTCAGCTCCCACTTAAATCAAGTAAGATTAAGGTTGTGTTTCGTTCATCTTATTTTTTCTGCTTAGTATTTATTTTTATTAAAATCAGATCAAATTAGAACAGATCTAATCAGATTAGATCGAATCAGATCCAATCCAATGAGATCTAGCTAGACAAAATTAATACTATTATAATTATTATTACAATTACTATTATTACTACTACCACTACTACTATAACTATTATTATTATTACTATTGTTATTATTATTGCTATTACTATTATTGTTATTATTACTATTGTAATTATTATTATTATTACTATTTTTAATACTATTATTGTTATTGTTATTATTACTCTTGTAGTTATTATTATTATTACTATTATTATAATTACTATTATTATTAATATTTCTATCATTATTATTATTATTAATATTATTATAACTATAATAATAATTATAAATTAAATCGAATATATATATCATCCAATAAGATCATATTAAATTAAATCAAATCAAATTCAATTAGATCAGATCCAATTGGATCAGATCAAATCTAGGAAGGCACCCTAAAGAGTATGGGGGAAGGCATGGCCGTGATAGGGAGAGTACACTGATGATAAAGTGATGGTGTTCCCCATCACACACATCGAACCTCTTTCTCCTCTTTTTTTGTTCTTTCTTTTTTCCTTTGTTTTCTTTTCATCACGCATCTTTACTCCAACTTGGGCCACTCTTGATTCCAAAGTCAAAATCAACTTGTGGAGTGTAGTTGAAGGAGGGTGTTCGGGTCAGAGCGGGGTGAGGGGATTTATCGGGAGGATTAGAGGGTAGGAACCATCAATTTTACGAATGGGACACCGGAGCGCCCCCGGGTCATCCCATGATATATGTATGTATGTATGTGTGTGTGTATATATATATACACACCACTGAAATTTGTATAATTAACATATATGTAGTGTATTAATAATTAGCAACGGTGGCTCAGTTGGTTGGGAGCTCCATCTTCTCCCCTGGACAAGCTTGAGTTCGATCCCGATGAAGTTTATGTTGAATTTTGGAATTGAAATTGTTGCTTTATTCATTGATGCAAAGACATATATAAATACACACGGGAGATAGAAACGAGGAGCCCTCTGGTGATACAAACGAGGAGCCCAAATACAAATACATAAAGAATATATATATACACTAAAACAAATATGTACCAAAAATACTAAGCTAACACTCCCCCTCAAGTTGGAGCATGAAGATAAAAAATGCCCAACTTGGATAATAAACAGTGAAATAAAGGACCGGACAAAGCCTTAGTGAAGATGTCCGCAATAGGAACATAAGCTGTGACAACATGGTTACGCTGAATGCACTCCCGGATAATATGACAATCAATATCAATGTGCTTCGACCGCTCATGAAAAACAGGATTGGCGGCAATAAACAGAGCAGACTTGTTATCACAATATAAACGGGGAGTTGCCACACAAGGAACATCTAACGCAGCCAAGATACCACGCAACCACCTTATCTCTGCACATGCATTAGCCATGGCCCGATACTCCGCCTCTGCCGAAGATCGAGAAACTGTAGTTTGCTTTTTAGTGCGCCATGAGACTGGAGAACCACCCAATAGAATAAAATATCCGGTGACAGAACGTCGAGTAAGAGGACAACTTGCCCAATCAGAGTCAGAAAAAGCAGTGAGAGCAAGATTACTATCACTACGTAATAAAATACCCTGGCCAGGATGACCTTTAAGATATCTTAGAACACGAAGAGCTGCG